CAGCAAGACTAGGCGCTTTCGGACAGATCAGACCTAGCTCAAGCTGGAGCCAACTGCAGGAAATCTGGGATCTCTGTTACGAAGGTTGTGGTGGACCATTGTAATGGGGACTTCTGACCCTGCATAGGATCTCCTGAAAATCAGGGACATAGGAATTACCCTGATGTAGCCTGTCGGAGACACTGGCAGTTGCTTCATGGAGGAGGCAGCTCAGGAGTAACCTGCCAGTGGAGAACACCAAGGTCTTGGTGTTCTCACATGGGTCAGCGAGAGAGCAGAGCCCATCAGCCCTGCTATTGTTTTAATCTTAAAAATAAGTACTGTATATAATAGGGAAGGAATTTGTTTGTTCTCATAATAATTTTATGAGAGGTTCTGTTATTGTGTAGTCATGTCATTAGCCATGGATGAAAGCCCAAGGCAAAGCCTAGTCCTAAACTCCACAGCGGACAAAGGATTTGCTGCTGAGCCTGGGCTCACCCAGGTGGGAAAGTGTGTCTCAGCACAGGTCACGTTTCCATCAGGGCACCTACCTGGGGGTTTCCAGGAGCAACGTGGCTGCAGGGTTGAGAAAAAGGTGCTCCCCAGTCCTGTGTTTGTGTGCTGCTGACTAGAGAAAGGCACAGAGCAGGCAGCTAATCTCCCAGGCCTTAGTCTCCCCAAGTGCAAAGCCTTGGGATTACAGGTTAACTGACCTGCATGGAAAAGATGAGCAGAGAGTTTCCAGAGCTGCCGCAGTAACAGCGAGCTGGGAAGCCCTCTGCAACTGCTGAGTTAGCATCAGCCCCATCCTGGGGTGCTTAGAGATACACAGGAAAGAGGGGGTAGACCTCACTGTAGAGTATTTCTGACCTAAAAACCGTCAATTTTTCTTTGTCCTTGAAAAATAAAAGCAATTTAAGGGCAATTTGCTACTGAAAGATGAAGTATAATCTGAAGGTTTTATAATAGAGGTCCTACTGTGACAGAGGCCTTGGTCCCCTCCCACCACAGGAGCAGCAGAGCTGGGGGCGGGTTGCAAATGCCTTAACATCTCACACCAAGCACCTTTCCTTAAGCCCACCTGGTGTTTAGCGGTCACAAAACAGCATGCCAGAGAGAATATTTGAGAACTAAAACTGCTCGTTCTGCCCCGCAGTGAAAATGCACCGCCTGCATATACCATCACTTTGGCTATGAAGCACCTTCTCCTTTCCTGTAACGAATGCATCCTGCCTCCACCTCCACGCACCCCAGGCTTGCTCCTTAGTGATTCGCCCTCTCTGGGGACTGCAGAGTGCAGAAAGCTGGAGCCAAAGTTAGGCGGTGGACGACCTACCTGCTCTCTGGGGCCACATTGGTAGAGACGAGCTAATGAGAGCCCAATTTATCCCGCTGGGTTCTTACAGCTGCAGTCACCATTGGCAGCTGAGCACCTGGCAAGTGAGCAAAAAGCTCATCTAATGGGAGCTGACTGATTCCATGGCTGCAGTGATGGGACTGGTATAAAATTCTCTTGGAGAGCTGTTTGAGATGACTCTTTTATGGGGGAAGAGGATGGATTATTGACTGTGGCAGTGGTGCTTCAATGGGCCTTGCAGGTAGCCAAGCAGGGAGTGTGGATGGTGCCCTGTGGGCAATGAGGAGGTTGGAGGGCTGCCCCAACACACATGAAAAAATATCCCGGTGTCCTTGGGTGGTGGTATCACCCCTGCTGCTCTTGCAGGAGGGACTCAAGCACTTTTGGTGTAGTTTTTTTCCTTTATTCTTCTACTTGCAAACCATCTCATATTCTCTCACTAACCTCTCTGGGGTCCCAGTTATAGATACCAGAAGAGTTGATCCGCTCTCATGCGCAAGAGAACAAGTCGTCCTATTGATGGGAAGCCAAGCTCACTGTGAGCCCACCTATCGGTAACTTCAAACCATCTTTCCAACTGTCATTCCACGATAACTTTGACTAACTGTACTATTTATTGGCTCACATCACATCCTTATGGCTTCAATTTAGTTTTGGAAAACTCAACCCCCATTTAATTAGTTTATAGTTTGTTCCAAGTTTTGCTTATCCAGCTTTTTTTTGTCTTTTTTTTTTTTGTTTTTTTTGAAGTTTGTATTTTGATGTTTAGCATTTGCCTTGGCAACATCTGGAACCCCTTTATGGAAGTGTATTGTTACTTTTACTGCTCGTGCAGCTTTATTAAATCATCCGAGTATTAATATTGAAAGTGTTCATCTGGGTCTAATCAGGGCCAAGATGAGTGATGTGGCAGTTAAATTGTACCTACGAGCTAATGGTTCAAGGACACAGAGTCCTGAAGAAACTTCAGTGGGGCTTTGTGCTCTTCTTTTTAGCTTCCTCGGAGAAGAAGCAGAGGGAGAAAAAAGAGATATTTCTGCTCTGACCTTTCTTGCAGAGCAGATAACAGAATCACAGCCTGAGCTGGTTTAGAACAATTTGTCTCCAAAGAATTTTGTCCGGTTACTGCTATATTTCTGGATCACGTTTCCATATTTAACTCTTTCATCTACCCTGGCTTCTCTGCTCCACAGCACAAACAACTGCCAAGTTACAATCCCACCACATACAGCAGTACAAAACTGCCAGGGCTGACGTTTTGCTCTGAGACCTCAAGAAAACCCTCAATGTAAATAAGTAAATAACATACACAGTGGGTATAAATACATAAATAACAAACCTCATTGCTCTTCTGCATCAGGAACATTGACAACCTAGATTTGTCCATTTGCTTCTCCTCCACAGGGCCCCCAGATGTCCCTGGGATGATGGTGCTGAGCCCATGCTTGCATACTGCAAGCACAGCACGAGCCCAGGCACGGGTGGGTTGAGCTGAAAGGGTGAAAGAAGAAATATGTCAGCGACACCACCAGAGCACAGCCCTGGGTGTGGTAGGGCTGGGTTTTGGGGAGAGAAAGCAATTTACCTTCAATTCTCTGTTCCCACATAATAACACCAATTGAATTTGTAGAGTGCGGTGGCTGTTGTTGTTGACCCAAGAGCCCCACGCAAATGCTGGGCTTAATTTCTGATCCACTTCTAAAACTCTCATCCTCAAGAGGAGTTTTGCCCAGGATCCTGCAAGTCCTGCCCTGGCAGAGCGAGGTGGGGAGGTGAGGGTGGGTCATGCTGGCTGCAGATCCTTCAAATCCCAGATGAAGTTACAATTTCGGTAGCTAACCGTTGGATAGATGCGGGGTATTGAGCCTGTTGAGATCACCCACAAAATCCCTGGGTGCCTCGGCAGGGCCAGAGCAGCCCCATGGACAGGGGGATGCTGAGCGAGAGGTTGTGGGCAGCATCCTCACCAGCTTTACTCCCAGCTCCCCATCACCTTCATGACATGATCTCTGCTGAGCCACATTTTAAGCCACGCATGGGTCATTTAAACCAAAATTTCCTCCTTCCAGCCTTCAGATGCAACAGGCTTTTCTTCTGCACCCAGGTTTCCCCTCCACCATTAACCCTGGCTCTATGTATGAGGCCATGGGAGCTTGTAAATGGTTTATTTCTATGCAGGAGCCTTCCAGCAGCTCCTTTACGGCTGTTGCATGGAGGGGGGTCTGGGCTGGCAAGGGAAGCAGAGCAGACTGTGTGCCCCGGATTTGGGAAGCAGAGAAGTTAAAAATCCCTTTTTGTTGTTGGGACAGTGTATGCATGAAAAAGAAGGCCAATGGCAATGAGCAGGTCACAGATATGACCTCCAAGAATGCAGGAGGTCCTGCAGATTGCCCACAGACCCAGTGGTGCCTGTGGCTGTTCTATATCAGCAGGACCTTGCTTGCAGGGGCTGAGGCTTCGCAAGCCAGAGTCAGGGATTTTGCAATTTGTTTCTTATTCAAACTAACAGGTGATGGCAAACTCTTGTGATGGCTGTTGCAGCACAGTGAGCTATGACCGCTGTTTTCACTGGGGCTGGGAGCACCCAGTGCTGCCGGGCAGCTCAGGGAAGCGGCAGCTGGAGAAGCATGGACAACCCAAACCATCGAAAAATTATCTGCTGTAGTTCATGCTCCTACCTGAGTGCTCTGAAGTGTATTTATCTAAGTAAAAATTTATAAATGTATAGTTCTACCTAAGCCACTTAGTGGCTTCTTTTTTTAAAAAAAATCAAAAAGACATTTAGCAGCGTTAAAACAGGAAGTTTAAATTTAGCTGGGATTTATCCCTTAACCGAGCATAGTTCATTCACCCTTTGTATAAAAATAGAGATAATTTTATGTCCATGAGACACACGCAGAGGAGCTCCACACGGGCAGCAGTTATTTCTGCTGCTGCGGCCAGACCCAGTGCTGTAGGGGCAGGAGAGCATCTCATGCCTGGCCAGAGCAGGCAACGGAGCCCCAGAAGGAGCTGCTCCCATCACCCCAGATCTTGGGAAGTCTCAACCCATTGTTTATTGCCAAAAACACAGATGCTCAGGGAGCAGGTGGCAAACATACTTCCCATCTTGTGCTCAACGAACAGGCAGAGGGAGGATGAGGAGGCAGCAAGAGAGGAGGGAGCTGCCCGAGCCTGGCCATGCATCCCTCCCTGGCACATCTCTCCCCCCAGGGAGGGGAATAAACAAAATCCTCAGGCATGCATCGACCTGGAAATGTCCCTTTTCAGACCCTGCGTGACCTCAGGATGAGGGGAGACACCAGTCTGAGCCTAGGTTGTAGAGAAAGCAATAAACTCCCCCTTGATGATAAACAATACAGGAAACACAGAGGGAAAATGCAGTTCTTGCAGCTTCCCGGGCTCTGCAAAGCTCTTGTCCAGAGGGACCTGCCTCTGCACCACCAGCATCCCTTCAGCTTCTCTAGGCTTTGGCATAATCTAAAGCAAATTTGACCGAGCAATGGAACAAAATGAAAGCTATAGAAAAACGCATGGTGAAACAGGGTCAATTTGGGCTCCTTCTCCACTGGTTGTATGAGTCGATGAAAATGGTTATTTTTTCCCCACTCCTGGCAAGCACGGCCATGCTCACCCTCCACCACCCTCTCTGCCCCTGCAGCCTGCAGCGCCGGCGCTCGCCGCAGCCTGAAGACCAACCTGTGCAAGTGGTGCGACTCCACGCCGCCAGCCTGCGAGGAGAAGGTGTGCTACAGCAACTGCAACCTCAACTCCTACTGCGAGGACCCCTATGAGATCTGCGTGGCCATATGGTGAGCAGCAATTCCCTCATCGAGGGGAGACACGGGAGGAAAAGGGGTTTGCAGGGTGGCGACTCATGAGAACACATATGTATGTACCCTTGCACTTCAATTATTGCCCATTAAAAACTCCAGGACTTTCTATTCCTCTCCTTTGACTCCATTACAATTAAAACTACAATTTGCAGTAAAACATTATTTGGTCTGCCATATAATTAGTACCAGTTTATTTTCTAAATAAATTAAGCATTTAAGTGCCCAACACAAAGTGTGGCAAGCTTGCTGTGGGGCCTCTAAATGCCCATAAACCTCTGAATTTAGCTTTACAAATGGAACCCAAGGGCAAAACCAGCAGCCCTGACACCCAAAGCCATGATGTCCCCCTGCAGCAGGCTGGTGAAATCCCGGTTCACATGCAGGGGTGCAGCCGAGGTCTGTCCCCATCCAGCACATAAACATCTGAGCTGGTACCAAACTGGAGTTTAACCCACCTCCTTCCCTTTCCCTGGGAAAAGCCCTTTTCTGCTTCTGAGAGAGATGCCTGGAAGGGAAACGCAATCTTGCATTTCAGGCCAAGCATACGCCACATCGTTTGGCCCGGAAGAGTGCCTCCCCCAGCTTTTTGGTCCCCATGAGCAAAACTAAAAAATAGCCAGTTTGGGTCTGCCCAGAGTGATTTTCCTTCTCTTTCCCTTTTAATTTGGCTGCCAAAGTGAAAGCCAGCCAAGCACTTATCGCTAGGCTTTATCTCAACCTGCTAATTAGCATGAATGCTGTACGCCCCGCTTTCAGTAGGAGTTTGCCTCAACATAATTGTTGCATTATGGACTTAAAAAAAAAACCCCAAACCCAAACCAAACAAAAAAAACAGCAAGAAACGCAAACAAACAAAATGCACCTCCTGCCCCAAATTCCCCTGCATGCACTTGGAGAAGTCACATCCTGGGTAGGCAATCCAGCACCTTGCAGGGTTTCCCACTGACAACCTACATGCACAGGAAGAAGCAAGACCCCTGCAGCATAAATCCCCCTCCCACGAGATGGGGCTGCACCCTGTGCCATGTATTGGATGGGGCGACAGTGGGGTCATAAATAACCTGCAGTCCCTGCAGCCTCATCCCAGCATCTCCCACCCCATCCTAAAACTGAGATTAAGATCCATGCAGACAGAGTTTACATCCAAGCCAGCCTCGCTGCTGGTTGTTCACTTGCAGGGGCATATTCGGATCATCTGAACTTGTCCTGCATGGGTATCACAGTCACAGCAGCAGCCTTGGCCCCATGCTCACGAGCAACATGCTCACGTCCTCCAGCATGCCCGGCCTGGGCAGCCCACAGAGGAGGGAGTGCTTCTAGGACTCTTCAGCTGAAATCTCCTCTGACAAATTACCTGAGAACCCCAAGAAAACGTGGGGAGCACTGAAACCAGGGGACTTCACTAGGAAGAGGATGACAAATTTGGGTTCTTGTCTCTGCTTTTATATCTGACTTCCCAGCTGACCTTGAAGGTATTGTGAAACCTCTCCAGACCCTCACTCTCCCACTTTGCACTGCTAGGTCAAGAAGCAGAGGCTGTCCCTGCATAAGTAATTAATGGTTGCAGTTTCCTTCACACGCCCCCAGGAGTAGCTGCAACACTCACCAGCCACTTGTAGCCCGTGCAGGGTTGGTCATTCCCATTCGTCCTCGCCCTGGGGCTGTCCTGTAAACCTGACCAGTGCTGGGTTATCCTGCCTCCTCTGGGGAAGGCTCCAGAAACAAGGGTCAAAGCCAGGCACTCTACTCTTAGTTCTTAAGTCTTAATTACCCACTGGCTCTACAAGGCAGGAGCTGATGCTCCCCATAGGAGAAGAGCCACATCCCAGGTTACCTTTCCCTAGTGGTGCCAAACAGGGAACGAGCCATCTGGCCCCAAGCTACCTGGCACATCTCATGTGCCATGCCAGCAGCCCATGTGAGCTCCTCTCCAGCTCTCCGAGGGCAAGAGGCTCCATCATGACACCAACAACTGCCTCCAAATACAATCTCCAATCTCCAGCTCCTTTCAGCTGCCACCATCTGCCCCACAGAGGGACATAACCCAGTTCATGCTTGGCCATTCCTAAATCCACCTGGGCAATCCAGTTTTTACAGTTCTCCACCATTTGCTTCCCAAACCTCTTCCCTCGCCCAGCTTGGTAAACATCAGGTGGAGGTGAAGCCATGGGTCCAGCAAGAACAACTCCACCACTCACCAGAAGAAGGGAACTCCCACATATCGGGACACAGCTGTGCCAGACCCTCTAGCCCAGCCCCCTCATGTTGAGGCAATGCTGCCCAAATCCATCTGGGAGAGCTGCAGTTTTCCAGCAAAACAAGCGCCCTGTGCTTGAGGAGACAACAACCAGAGCCAAACCCATCCTTTTGCTCTATGCATGACACTTTTCCATAGCTTTAATGGGAGCCCAGTCTAGGTGCTGCTGAGCAAAAATGTGACATGTAAGAAGAACCTAACCTAGCTGTTGAGCACTGGTGGTGAAAAAACTCTAAGGACATCAGCACCATGGAGCTAGACCTGATACTGTGAGCCACATTTCAGTGAGTAACTGCAGTTTTGTGAATGAGACATTTTTGTTCTGGGCCTTGAAATATTTCACCTATTCTTACTGTGCTTTCTGAATGCTTGTGCACAGTTAAATGCAACAGGGGCCCTGGGATATTTTGTGTCTTCACTTTAGAAAGGGAAAAGTCTCTTAGGAAGACTTCACCCTCTCAGCTCCCATCTCTCAGCCAGTGGAATGGACGTTTCAGGTTCCCCTGGCTGATGATACGACCATCTCTGACACGGGGTGTTACACAGAGATGAAGAAATATGCAGTGATTAAAAATAAGAAAAAAAACCAAACCAGGTCTGTGCTTTCTCTTTGAAAAAAGAACAAATTCCCTAGAAATGCCAATAAATTGTGCTTTTACACCCCTCTTAATTATCTAAATGGAAATATGGAGGAGCTAGGGCTTATTTGCCATCATATCCCTGGCTGTACCGAGCCCCAGCACTCCTCTGCTCCAGACCTGGGGAAGACCAGGACATCACCAGATGACACGGCAGGTTTCGATTGTAGTTACTCAGTGTCTGAAGTTGTGGTATAAATGCAGACACAGCCCCATGGTCAGGGAGTTGTATCGCCTTCACGTTATAATTTGGCCACTCCAAAGGTCAAGTCGTTTCTAGAAATAGCCCTGACCAGCAACTGAAGGGCTCTACCGCCGCCGGCTGCTGGAGGCAGGAGCAAATGGTCCTGCAAGGACAGGGTACGACAACCAGCAATTAGTCCAGAGAGCTCAGGGGATGAGCTGGGGCTTATGGGCTCCACCTGCATGCACAGGTTGAGAGGAGCCAGAGGGAAACACGAGCCAAGCAGTCTCCAGTGAGCAGGTGTTTTGGCTCCCCACGTCCCCTGTCTCTCCCCTGCACAGAAGAAATTTGGGCAGCAGGGACCCCAGCCCCTGCTGAGGCAGAGATATTATGATTTGTATTGCAGCAGAGGTGACACATGAGGTGGGACCCTTATTTTGGAAGGTTTCCTTAAGACCATACAGCCCCAAAACCTGCTGGCCTAGCAGCTGGTGTTAGTAAATGAGGAATTTTGCCCCAGATCCCACACAGAATACTCAGCCTTAGGGTTGGCACTACCTGATCCCAAGCACGATTATGAATTGGTGAATTATCTCTTGGAAACAATTGGAGTCTCTGGCTCACATCTTACTATTGGCGTGTGCTAAACATTTCTCTCTTCACCATTTGGAAGAGACAAAGGGCTTTAACAAAGCCCATCTAAAGCACACATAATTAAAATTATACCAGAGCCACTACAAAAAAAGTTATTCCCTACATGGCTTAAAACGAATGATCTTAAAACCAGGTTTAAGAGGACACACAGGTGACACAAAGGCTGAGCTGCTAGACTAATGCTTTGTCGGTTCATTTGTCACATGCAGGAGACAGGACAATGAGAGCATCAGGATCAGCACACTCTGCCACAACCCCCACCGCCCCATTGAAAACCTCATGGTCCCCAACTACAACACCTCGCGCTGCATCATGACCCATCAGCCCAGCGAGGATGGGATCATCTACATCTGCGGCTGCGTGGATGAGCAGGAGTGCAACGATAAACTTATCTTTGAAAACCACACCAATGGTGAGTACTTTTGTTAATGCTGTTTATAGGGGGAGAAGCACCCAACGCTAATGACAGATAACTTGTATTTCCAATAGAGTAGGAGATGCAGTGCCAGAAGGAGGTCTTTCGGCATTTACTTTGACCTCCCTATGTAAAAGCAAGTTAAATTTGTACCCCGTTACTGACCCCAGTATCTTGTCTGTGGTTAAATAATCCCTCCCAGCGATGCCTCCAGTCTCAGTCTGGAAACATCAGGTAATGGAAAATCCACCGTATCTCTCAGTAGGCTGTACCCTTCAGTCCGGGGCGAATCAACCAGGGAACCCAAAAGCTGATGTAACCCAGCGTGAGTCAAAGCTCTGAAAGCTTTAAATAAATCGCATTGGAGCAAATCCTGCCCTGGCACACCCACGGGAACCGCTGGCACCCGCCAGGGCTGCAAACCAAAAAGGTGGTGGTGGGCATGCAGCCGTACCTCCCCTGCCGCTCTCCTGGGGATTTCTGCAGTAACGTTTTTCTCAGGCAGGGAGTGCCAGAGCCACCCCAGCGCTGTACACATACGTGATCACAGCTCGGTATGCCTGTAGACACTTCTCAGATGGCTGGAGATCCAACAGGACCTGCAAATCCACAGGAGGGAAAACTAAGAGGCAGCTCATTTCTGTACCTCAGAAGGGTCATATACTTTGGAAACACTTCCAGCTAGATCCTGAGTCTTTGGGGGCTTGTCCAAACCTCCCTAACTTCAAAGAGACCAGGTTTATCCAAGTGGCCATCAAGAATCTAACCCATAACAAAAACAAAGTGAAACCCCTCCCAGTTTTCCATAATTACAGAACAACAAGATGCTGAAAATGAGCCTAAGCACAACCTGTAAGTCAACAGCACAGCTTCTCCCACAATGCAAGGAAAAAAAAAAAATCACATAAAATGCAAATTCTCAGAACAAACAAGCCGCTTCTAATGAAGGCAAATGATGCTAAATTTGGCAGTTCTTTGCTGCTTCCTGAGCCAAACATAACAGGTACACACACTTCTAGGGAGAGATAGTCAAATCCCAAAGCCGATGCTGGGGTATGTAATTTCACATAAAAATGACAACTGGCTCATTGGAAATGCCGCCCCCACCAAAGGCTTCCACAAACAGCCTCCTCCTGCCAGCCACACGTAAAGTGCTGAAACTCAGAGTGAGAGCAGTGCAGGCCTTAAACAATTATTTCCTCTTTGATTTGGTTTGTGGGGCCAGCTTGGCAAGACCCAGATGCAGAGACCCCACCGTTTATATCCCCTTCTTCTGCTTTAAGGGATTACTTGCATTTTAAATATTAACTTACGGTCATCTTCAGTGGTATAGACAACTGCTGAGCAGAGAAACATCGAATACAGACAAGCACTTCTCTGGTGGTTGAAGCAGACAGATTTTTTTCCATTTCTTTGAGGTCTGGGGTGCTTTCAGGTCCGGGCTGCTAGGTGGCACTGCCCCAGAACCAGGACTGCAGGAGACACTATCAGAGCTGAGAGACCACCCTAATGAACACTCTGAGGCACCATTTCCTAAAGCCGTGCAAGCAGGAGCCCAGTGGGCATCTTGGGAAGGTGCTGGGTAGCATTGAGCATGTGGAGGCTGAGCCTGGCCCTGGGGATCCACCTCCCCTCAGCAGGGATGGAAAGACCCACGTAACAGTGAGTGACAAGGCGTGGGTTTACAGACCCATGGTTACAGCCAGAGCAGCTACATTTGCTCTCCCTGGAAGGGATCTAAGCCATGCTGCAACCCCTCTGTATCAAAGGGTTTGCATCAGGACGGGGCATCCTCGCAAAGGAATTTGCTGAAGTTGTGTTAACTTCCCCTTTCAGGACTCATGCATGCAACTCCCTTAAAAATATCTTCTCTTCAGAGTTTCAAAGATGGGATCTTGAGCATCGGGTAAATCCATTAAAGCAGTAGGTGATATCCAGGCCTAACACTTTCCAAAATAAACATATTCCTGAGTTAGTTATTGATTTATATCAGTTTAGGTTGATCTTGTGGTTTGAACCTGATGCCTATTTTAGAAACGCTTTCACAGCCTTGCAGAAATTAGCTGCAGCACATTTTTTTGAAATTTGCCAAGGAAAATAGCTAAACGCTCTGTTTTTCCAGAACCTGAATTATGATCTGCACACACTGAGGTCAAGCAGCGAGAGTTTTGCTTATGGAATGATTCTTATCCCTCTTCCCCTGGGTTATTATACTTGGCAGAAAAACCTCTGACTAAGATTTTACTTGAATATCTCTACTGAAGTCAGCATGTTTATTCCAGGAATCGCGAACATCAAAGTATCAGACAATTATATGTTGTGCGAGGGTTAGGGCTTTTTGTGTGCATGTGTGTCCCCCCGCTGCCCCCAATGATCTGAAGGCTGAGAGGGGTTTAAAAGAAATAAAACAAAAGCAGCCATGCCCGGTCTGTTGACAGTGGTTGGTGGTGTAACACAGCAAGGAAGGAGATGCCAACGCTGTCAGACCCCGCTGAAACATGCTACTTTACGCTAATTATCACGCAAAGTATCCCAGCGCTCCCCTGGCTCGGTGGTCCCACACACTGCCCACCGCCCCCAGCATCCCTCCTGGCTCTCTGTGCACCACAGGGGTCCAGCAAAGCTCCAGCCCCAAATCCCTTCTGAGATTTGCTCTGTTCAAGCCTTGCCTCAGCTTTATCACTTATTTCCACCCCAGCTTCCCTCACCGTGAGCGCAAGCAGCACTTGGGAGGCACCGAAGGCAGCCGAGCCGTTTTGGCAGCAGCACCTCATGTGCTGCACCACCGGCCTGCGTCCTGAACCCTCACTTGATAAATGGAGCTAAATTTGAGACCTAAACCCAAGCAGCCCCCTTAATAACTGCCTACATCTGGGTTCTCTGTGGGGACAGGGTTTGTGCGCAGCGTGCGTTGCGGCCCTACAAAGGGCTGCGCTTCATTAACGGCTTCACATATTTTCCTCCTCCGCGTGATGAGAACGAGCTGTTGCAGGCCCACGGCGGCAGCGCCCTCGCCTTTGCTTTCCTCCCCGCAGGCTACTCCATGCTGCAGAGCAAAGAGGTGATCCCGGTGGCCGCCATCAGCCTCCTGCCCCCACTGCTGGTGGCGGTGATGATCACGGTGATATTTTACCTCTGCCGCACGCAGAAGCGGCGCAAGAGAGCCAAGGCATGGGGTGGGAAACCAGGACAGCCCCCGGCACTGCCAGAGCCGGGGATGTCTGCTGAGGGGGAGGAGAAGTTGTCCGTGCTGATGGACGAGAGCCCGGGCAGTGCCAGCCCCACCTGCGCCAGCAGCCGCCCCGCTGAGCTGCTCCCCATCGAGCTGGACGAGATGGTGGGCAAAGGGCAGTTTGCGGAGGTGTGGAGGGCCAAGCTGAGCCACAGCCGCTCGGGGCAGTACGAGACGGTGGCCGTGAAGATCTTCCCCTGTGAGGAGTACTCCTCCTGGAAGAACGAGAGCCAGATCTTCACCGACGCCAGCCTCAAGCACGACAGCGTCCTGCGGTTCCTCACAGCCGAGGACCGGGGCACAGGGCCCCGTCGGGAGTACTGGCTCATCACCGCCTACCACAGCCGGGGCAACCTCAAGGACTACCTCTCCCGCCACGTCCTGAGCTGGATGGACCTGCAGAAGATGGCAGGCTCGCTGGTGAATGGGGTGGCCCACCTCCACAGTGACTACACCACCTGTGGCAGGCCAAAAATCCCCATCGCCCACCGGGACATCAAAAGCACCAACGTCTTGGTGAAGAACGAGCAGGAGTGTGTGCTCTGCGACTTTGGCATCGCCATACGCCTCGACCCTTCCCTGACAGTGGATGACTTTGCCAACAGCGGGCAGGCAAGTATGACCCAGCGGCCCTCCCTGGAGGGGACCCTTTGCAAACCATTCCTGCTCCCCCTACGGCCAAAGTCCTCCCCCACACCTGCTAATGCCTCTCCTCTTTGCGGGCAGGTAGGCACCGCCAGGTACATGGCCCCAGAGGTCCTGGAGTCCAGGGTGAACCTGGAAGACCTGGAGTCTTTCAAGCAGATGGATGTCTACTCCATGGCCCTTGTTTTGTGGGAAATGGCCTCCAGATGTGAAGTGGTAGGAGGTAGGAGCATCACATGGGGTTTGCCACTTATCTTTTTGCTTCCTTCCTCCCCGTATGGGGACATGGCTCACCTCGTGTCTCCAGTGGTGGCATGGGACACAATTTGGGGTGGCTTGGATCTCTGCAGGGCTGCTAAGAGCTGGTGGCAGATCCTCCCCCACAGCTGCCTGCCCTGTGTGCCGTGGCTTGAGGGCGCCAGCTTGGTGGCCGAGGAGCAGGACAGGACCCCAGAGGGTTATCTGGTCCAGCCCCCCGCTCAAAGCCAGCCAGTCACCAAGTCACATCCCAGTCAGTGCTGGCAATGCAAAGCAAACCAAGCAGGAAGAGCCAAAGCTGCCTACCCGTCCCTGGCCACAAGCTCTTTTTTCCAGACAACACCAGAGAGTTTATGTTGCAACGGGGACTCGCAAACTCCAGCCTATGACAGAGCCATGTGCCCCCGTGACTTCACAGAGCCACATCCTGGCATCTGAAACTGCATGTAGCGAAACATTTAATTAACTGCCCTGCTGTTAGCCCCTGCCTGCTCCCCTCTCTTCCTTTTTAGCTCTCTCCAGTTCCTTCCCTGTCCTACCTACTTATAATAGAAGCCCACGGAGCTGCAAGCAGCTCCAATTCCTGGCAAGAAAGCTGCCCCAACTGCCCTGCATTCCCCACGCTCAGCTGTGGGAGACCTTGGCCTGGCTCAGATGTCCTGTGCATCCTTTGCTCCCACACCAGCATCCCAGGCCATCCCTCCCCACTCATATTTCACCTGCATCTGCTTCTGGGCAGGAGCTGGCAGAAACCAGGATAGCCTGTCACCTCTTCAACAGGGAGTTTCTCCTCAAGGTCCTATGTGGTTGCTTTTCTGGAAAGGCCATTTCACCTCTAACCCAATCCATGCCCGCAGCAGCTCTCTGGATGCTGGTACCATAGTCGCTTCTCCCATCTTTCACCATCACAATGCATTTTACCTGCTCAAAATATGTTCCACCCAAAGACAGACCAAGTCTTTCGTAATGCATCACTTGGGTTCAGGAAGGTGGTCAGCTAGTTCCTTAGTCCTGTCACTGAAAACAACCTCTACATGAAAACCCAGCACTATTTCTATGTTCAAATCCTAAATTGTTTCCAGATCCATTTATTTTTGCAGACTGATAAAAACAAATTTATTCTCATCCAGTGAGCCATACCAAAGCAAAGCAGCAAATGCATTAAAAACATCCCATAATGCTGCTGCTTCCTTGCAGAGGTAAAGAATTATGAGCTGCCTTTTGGGTCAAAAGTCCAGGAGCAGCCCTGCGTGGACACCATGAGAGACATCGTGCTGCATGGCAGAGGGAGACCCGAGATCCCCAGCAGCTGGCTCGTGCATCAGGTAAGCTGGGAATAGCTGGTTCAGAAAAAAGCAACCCACAGTGTCCCACCTCACTAGACCAACCTGAAAAATTATTAAAGCTGTAATCAAAGCAAAAGCGGACAGAACTCCTGGGCCCTATTTCCAGCTCCACTTTGGCTGGCTAAGCCCACATAACCCCCACTAGACCCATTTCCCTGGTGTATAAAAGCCACCAGCCAGGGGTACAGCAAAACTTACCGATCAATAGCTGTGATCAGGAAGTGCTATGAATCCAAGGGATGGTATTCAGTTATCTTGAGGATAACAGCAAAATGGAGCACTTCAGTGCAGGCTCTTCTCATGGAACAGTTACTCATTTGAGTCCATCCCATTTCTCCCCTAACCACCGCATCCAGAAAGCTCTAGCTCAGAAAACACAGAGTCCCTCACACACAGCCATCTCACGGCAGGGACAGAGGGGAGGAAGGTGCTTTCCAGCCTTCTGCCTGCTTCATTGTGGAGGCGTCACACTCAAGATTACCTCTAACATGAGGTCATGACTTGGCACGTGAGAAGAAAGACTTCCACTTCTACAAGGAAAGGCAAAACAGGAAGCATCTCCCTCAGATGAAACCAGGAAAGACGCATGAAGCTGAGAGCAGGGAACCTGCTAGGCTCAAGCCTTGCCGAGAGGAAGTCTTTCACCAGCCTTCAGCTCAGGTCTGAAAGCAAAGCGTTTCATCACAGAAAGCATGACCCATGCTCTAGAATAGAAACACTTCAGCAATAACGAGATGTGCTCTGTTAAAACCATCCACGAGCACACCCAGACCAACCAGCTCCAGATAGCTACCTCCCAGCCCCAACAGGGTCGTCTCTCCCCCAGGTCCAGTACCTTCTTACACACACTGAGGACACGAGGGGTAGCACACACTGACCATGATTTTCAAATCTTGACTGACTTCGGTACTTCTTAAATTTCACGTGTCTTGTGGAAAAACACCATCTGCTGATCAACAATTCAGTTCATCTGGAAAACAAGCTGAAACATTGAGCCTGCTGGCTCAAAGAGCCTTGCAGTGTACAGTGCATCATTTTACAGTACCCACCCATAAACCACACTGCTACTAGTCTGCGTAGATGACACATAAAGTCAGGCTTTTCAAAAGGAAAGATAATTTCATGATCTTAGGAGGCCATGTGTTCCCTACAGTACCTCCTCTCAAAACCGTATTTGTCCGAAGACTCACAACCAACCTGACCAACCAAAGCTGCAAACAACATCAAACAAATCTGTGGTTTCTGCTGGACTATCAGTGAGTTTATCAGTCAGTGAGTCCATTTCTGAAGTTCACCCAGCCTTTTTCCTTGATGAGGGCAAACACAGGAACTTCAATCAGCACTGCTACATATTTGAAGCCTTTGAGTATTCATCTCAGACATTCACCTCTCAGGATCTCTGATAAACTTTGAAACCACAGGACAAAATATACAGAGCCTTGGGTTGTCAAAAGTCACCCTCTGATAGAGCCTGACCACAACTGCACTGTTTGCTGAGCTGAAGGGCCGACTGCAATCACCTCCAAGAAATAACACTGGTGTAGTTGGGTTGCTCTAGCACATAAACAGAGCAAGGCTTATAAGGTAGTAAATTTTACTAGACCACCTGATGTTCACTGGGGAAGAGGAACAGAAAAGCCACATTGTGTTCCTGACAGTTTACCTCTGACTAATTTTAGCTAGGGTAGTAAACATCTTACAAGCCTGGCTTTACATGATTTTCTGGGCATTTTGCAGCCGGTCTCCCCAGGATGAGGCATAAGGCAGCACCATCTGCTGGGGATCAGCAGAAAGCCACCGGTTTGTGCCACTCCAGGTCAACAGCTTCCTGTGGGAGGAAGCGTTGGGCTACACCAAAAAAGGGTGACAAATTGCTCACCTGAAGGGGAAGCACTCATAGATGAAAGTAAGCTTGATTCAGGGCTCCAAATGCTACTTCCACATTTGAACCATCAGGAGCCCTCTCGGTCAAGTGAGGACCTCCATTGTTGGCCATGGTTTAAAATTTTTCAGCAAACATAAGCATTAATTTCCCAGACAGAGCTGACTCACTCAGCATGCTGCCCATCAGCAGCTGCAGGGCAACTGTTTGCAAGACTGCACAATAAAGCCAACTGAAGAAATTTATCCCCAGAGTTTCCCACATAACTTAGAACACCTTAAGCCCATGCTTCCACCTCACTTCACACCCCATATTTAAAAAGAAAAAAAAAAGTGGTTATTTAGGTCAGGTGAATTCCCAGATCTGGTTCATAGCAACTGAACAGACTGTTGTACTGGCACAGCCAAAGGGCTGGTACAGGACAGGAAGGAGCAGTGGGAGCTTAAGTCAATATTGCCACTAAAAATATACTTGTAAAACTCAGCATCCTTTGGAAATCTGAGATACCAAATACAAAACCCAAATCAAGTCCATTTTGTGAGTGTAACAAGATGTTCCCGTTGTACCATTCAAAAGAGCATCATTGCTATTTATGAGGCAAACCGCAAATAAATGTAATGATTTTGGGGCAAAATAAGCACAGAAAATCTAATGCCTAAACCATATGACCAGTGCCATGCTGTTTGAGAAAAGGCTTATTTTAAAAGCTTCAGCTAAGCTAGCTGATTTTCTTGCATGCTGATCAATTATCCTCAAATCCGTTCAACTAAGCTAATAAATGTGTGACGTAAGAGGTCCTGAAACACACCATCTGTCAGTTTTACTGCACAATCCTGTTCTCTCTAATCTGCGTCCATTATGGAAGATTTAGTACCATGAACCTTAGCCGAAAGCAGTGGGTTTGGAGTTAAGTGCAAAAGGACAGATGACACTGATGGTACATCTCTGCCGGACTTGCATTTTCCTCTTGTGTTGGGCCATAGCAGGCTGTTGGGTTCTCTTAATTGCATATTAAGAAATACACAAAACACTGGAAAACTTGAAACTTTATTTAGAATAATGATTTTTCCACTGGGTTGCAACCTTGGTTGACAATGATGCAAAAAGCAATAGAGCATGATAGGAATTATACAGGCAAAGGAAGGTTCAACATAGCTTCTGCTGCTAGCTGTGTACTAGCTTAAGAGTGGGGAAAAATATCAGCTGAATGCTGCCATTTTGTTTGTAAGCCCAAAACACTGGGACTCTCTTCAGAGCACTACATTACTGGGAGATAGAGCCATTGTAACCGAGAGGAACTCAATGTGTCCTGAAGCACACCAAGAAGTACCTGATCCCACCTAAATCAAAAAGCCATTTTGTGGTGAGAAAACAAAGTTCAGCTGCACACTACAATAAATATTTGGCATGGCATACCCTTTCAGAAAGCTGCTAAAATAAGAAGTCATATTTAAGAAGTTTAATTCCAAACTTGCCTTTGAACCCCTTCTGCCCCTTTCCCTCCATCCAGGTGTTGTCAGGGCACAGACTTGAAACCTCTGCAGAGACCTGGGCTCAGCTGCCTGCCTCCAGGTCACCGTCTGCACCTCTCCTGTCCCTCCTGATTTTTTGGATGCTCTGATCTGAACGGGCAAGGCTGAGACAGGAGATGGAGTGCCAATTTCCTTCCAGCCCCTAAGTCCCACAGTCAACACAAACCAACTTCCAGGGAGGATTTCCAGGGAGTGTGGAAAACACTTGGGACCAGATCCCCGGTGAGCCGAGGCTGCTGCTCCAACACAAGTAGTGCCAGCATTGGCACTTGCCATGACTTACCAAGGCTCTTTCCTCCTGTGCTTAAGACTGGCCAAAACCATTGTTTCTACAGGAAGGTGTCAAAAGTAGGGTAAATCACTGCGATTGCATTAGGTCAGCTGCTAGCTCCTCTTTCTCCTGCCTTCAGGTCTTAATTTCAGCCCTTCTGACTGCAGGGAATGCGTTTTCTGTGCGACACCATCACGGAGTGCTGGGACCACGACCCCGAGGCTCGCCTCACTGCCCACTGTGTGGCCGAGCGCTTCAACCTGATGGCACAGATGGATTGTGACGACATCCTCAACAACAACACGGACAACGAGGCCAGCAAAACAGCTTCTCCAGGCGGGGAGCACCAGGACAGTGATGGGAGCAGAAATGTGCAGTGACACAGCAGGCAAAAAGGCTCATCATGAGAAACGAGAGGATAAGTGAGAAGCATTTAGCTCATGTGAAAAAACCTCGCTCCATTTTTCAAAATGGAACTAAGATCTAGTACATAACTTATTTATAAGATCTGTTTCCTCCCACAGATACAGTGAACTGTGGAATCAATACTTTGGTTAAAGTGCGACATTATATATGAACTGATTTTGTACTTACTTTAAATGTATAATGATGCAAAGCATTCCTTTTATTATTTTTTAAAATAATAATGTTTAATCTTTTATTAATAAGCACCTGAATCTCATGTCTATCTTTTGAAGTCCTTCCATACTGCCATCACAAGTTTCTCTAACTGCTTATTCTGCAGAGATCAAGACAATTTTCAATTTTCCTTTTTTAATGTCTTAAACACACACAAAATATGTTGTACCAGCAGAAAAAAACGTCTTGAGATGTAACACACCCTTGGTGGAAGCAATGCTGGCACCTGAGATCAATACTCCAGACAATAATCACTGATCAGACAGTCCTTAATACAATGTAAAGATACCCAATAATCCAGTTTGCAAAAGCCTGCAACTCCAACACACCTTTTTTTCACTGGGGAATTCCTGGGTATACTTGATAGTCCAGGTGGGTGCATGAAGTTTCTTTGATAGAAAAAAAAGAGTCATCAGTGTAGCCACTGCTGTTTCACCCCAAGAAGTCTCCATACAGGATATCTAGACAACTCTTTCCCCAGATCAGTCCAGTTTCCAGGCACCTCTGGCCAACAGATCTGTGCCACAGTAAAAGTGTCAACACAAATGTGTTGGCTAAAACTTCTTGCAACTCTTTTGCACCCCTCTGCTGTGTTACTCAATCTGAAGAAACACCATCAGACAGAACCAGGACCTTTACTCCCATAACCACCAGATCAAGCCAGGCTGCCTCTGTAGCGGAAAGGCAATTAAGGAAAGGTAAGTCATACTTCACTCCGAACCCTGGCACTGTGCAAATCTTAATCCCTCCACCTTTGGAAGAAAGAGGTAATAAAAACCTTAGCTGCTACTAAGCCCTGCAAGCCCATACCTGACACTCACCTACTCAGAGGTGTATCTTTCAGGATAGCATTGGAGAGGAATTCTTTGCTTGCCAGCATGCAGCTGCATGGATCGACCCCTACAAGAGAGGGGAAGGGAGAAAACCATACAACAGCCACGAGCTTTCTACAACCGAGGATCCCTGAAGTGGAGCAGGGAAGCAGATTTGCAGGGCTGGTTTGCATTTTCTAAAATGCACAGTTATGACAGCACCAGCCCATACAAAAAGTTTTTCTTCTCTTGCTATTATTCCCACATCTTTGGACTGTTTCCACAGCTCCTGAATTAAAAGCCTAAAACAAAATTGTCTGTAAACCCTTCAAAGGAGGATGGAAGGGTAATGAATTAGGTTGCATCAAATCTAAATAATCAAAACTTAGTTCAGCTACCATGGGTAAATCTCCAACTGCACCTGTGACCATACCTTTGATTCTCACCAATCCCCCACCTGGCTTCTACCTCCTTGTCATCTTATAACTGTTTCAAGCTGACCCTTTTCTCTTGAAGGATATCCTTCTCAGTTCACCATAAACACACCCTTTCCACCCAAATGGCTTCAGTCTCATTTCTTTAATATGTTAACCACTACTGTATGTATGCCCAAGAGAATCAGAGAGCATGGGGCAGCTTTTCTGACATAAACTATGGGAACACACAAACTCCCCCAGGCTGTCCAATCTTTCATACAGTACAGAATTTCCCCTACCAAGTTTTGTACCAAGTTATTAGAATACAATACTGATGAATATGTTCCCTTCCTCTTCCAAGTTCATTCAAGAGGCTGTAAAAGACACTCTGACCTGTTCTTCCCACAGATGACTGGGACAGAGGGAGATCAGCCCATGCTAACTAGTCATTGAAGGCTGCATCTCTGATTCTGATGGCTGAAATCCAAATTCTCCTGGGGAGACAGAGACTTAATCCTAGGTTTGACAGTTTATACTGTAAATATGCTGAAAAACATTTCAATCTATTCCCCTCCCCATACCTAAAATCTTCAACACTTCAATTTACATATTGCCTTTTCTTCCATGAAAACCAAGTCCAGAATCAAGCTTTCAGGACTATATGCCTGACTGCCTGCATTAAATAGGAGTGACTTGTCACACTCTGTTTTCCAGGAGCACCAGGTTACACAGAACCTCTGAAGAGAGACACTTATTTAAAGCCTCATGATCTGTTTATAACTCAGGGAGCCTGAAACCACTGAGATCAGTTTAAGTTTTGTTCTTAACTTCAGTGGAGCCCAATGAAACCAAGACGACAGAAGGGAACATAAGCTGAAATCCTACATTTTGCCATGCTCCCCACTGAACACACTGTGGTTCTAGCAAATATCTAGACAGGAAGCAGCAGTGAGCCCTTCCCTTCGCTCCGGAAGGTACAAGATGGAAACAACAGCAGTTATGCAAGAGAATCAAACCTGGCCAGCTTTAAAAATATATCCATTAGTCGAGAGGGTGCTTGCAACTCTCAGAAGAATCACATAAATGTCTTACAATTTAAGCTAGATATTCAGTGACTGGATTTTTTTTTTTAATGGTTTTCAACTATGTTCTGTTTTTAAAGTAACTAGAAATTTGCATTATAGCTAAATCCACATCAGGAAGCCA